ATAATAGATATAACAGAGGAAAAAATTGTTCAAAAGGAAGGAGGAATGGGGGCACGGGAAAAGAAGAAAATGAGAAAAGAAGGCTAAAATAAAAACAAAACTTTGTAAATGAGGGGAAGCAGAGGTGAAGAGGCAAGAAGGGAGGGGAATCAAGAAGAATCATGTAGGGGTACAAATCCCTTATGATGAATGTGACCATTGTATCTCAATTGTACCAATAAATTTAAAAAGCAGTAAAGTAAGGACAATTCTCCCATAAATTGGCATTTTTTGCTAAACTTCCTGAATATGTGCATATAAACAAAATCATTTTGTGTTAACTGTACCTATATTTATCATGTAAATTACAGTGATGTTTTGGTTTCTGGTCCTTAAGCTTTCACTATAACTTTTTCAAAATTCTGGCTTTTCTGTAAAAGCTTAAGAAAAACATTGCTAAGAAATGTGTGGGTCAATTACTACAAAATATAAGCAATCTTTAAGTTGTTCAAGTATTTCTGAAAATTCACTATATTCACAAATGACATAGTAAAATTTTCCGATTTGTGTGACAAATTCTGTCTACATTGCACCTTGCTACATGAAAGGTGCAATTAATATCGAATTGTCAATCTTAAAAACCTACTACTAAGTTACAGAATTTTTGCTGGAGGACACAACCCCTCCCTCTGGCTGGGGAGAGGAAAACAGGAAACCTTAACAATGTTAGCTTTAAAAAAACAATAATTCAACTTTTAATGCTTATTTTTAGAGGATAGGGTAAGTACATCATGTTACATCCATCAATATAGTATTATACAAGCTTTAAAAAGGGAAAAGCTTCTATGTGCTGACAGGGATAACCTAAACAAATTACTGAGTATCAGAAAAGTGAAATACAAACAGTGCCTGTAGCATATGTCCACTTGGGAATATGTGATCGGTCGATGTCATCGGTTGTTGGCTTGAACACACACAGGTGACCTCTGGCAGAACACACAAGAAACAGTCAACAGTGGCTGCTTCTAAGCAAGAGAATCGGGTGGGGCATGAGGCAGGAAAGGGGAGGAGAATTTCCACTGCATTTTCCATTTGATCTTCAGAGCTTTATAAATACACTACCTATCCACACAAATAAAAGCCAAAAATAAAAAGTATGGGAGAGATAACTTCAAAATAAAGATTAAAGCAAAGAATATTCTGTGCTAGGATCTTGAGAAAATTATCTGTTGAGAAGGTAAAAGAATAGGAGGCAACTGAATGGGTAGGTAGAGATGAAGGAGGAGGAGGTAGCATCATCCCACAATGAGTCAACTCTTCTGGTCAAAGTTAAAAGCATCCTAAGGGCTGGGGATATAGCCTAGTGGCACCGTCCCTGTCTGGCAAGAACAAGGTCCTGAGTTCAATTCCCATTACCAAAGGGGGGAAAAAGTTAAAAGCATCTTGAAAATGAAGAGGAATTAAAGCTTAAAAGTAAAATTATGATAAGTTTGTAGAGGAACTTGAGATCCAGAAAATTATAGCTGACTCAAGTTTCTGAATTCTGAAGTAATAATTAAGAAATATAAACGTGGCAGTTTGCCACACTCAGAGCATGCTGAAGACAAGTTAAATACCGGTTCTCTCCTTGGTCTGTGGCCTGGATTTCTGCAGGAATGATTTCAAGAGGGAATGGAATACATAACAAAATGAGACTGCATGAAGAATCGGTCCCTAAGTGGATGTGAAAAAAATAATAAGAAGAAATCAGACATGATCTTGAGCTTCTCAATTGGGGAGGAAAAAATATGAATATAGTTCTAAATTTGCTGGTTTCCAGACAGTGATAAGTCAGTAAGTATCCAATAGTTCAAACTGCAATGGGAGGAATATTAGGACAGAATTACAAAACTGACAGTGTCCTGGGGTGCCACAACAAATTACCATGACTGGCTGGCTTAAACAACAAAGTTACTCCTCCATGGCTCTAAAGTCCAGAAACCTGAAATGAAGGCGCTGATGGGGCTTTTGTCCCTCAAAAAGCATTAGGGAGTATGGTCCTAGCCTCTTTCTGGGACTCCCAGAACTCCCTGGCTCAGCAGCATAACACCAATCTCTGCCCCATCTTCACATGACCTGTTCCTCCACGTCTCCATATCTGTGTTTCCTCTTCTCATAAGGGTACCAGTCATAGCATTTGGGCCCAATCCTAAACCAAGTTCTCATTTCTAAATCCTTAACTATATCTGTAAAAAACTATTTCCAAGTAAAGTCATACCAACTACAGGTATTAGGGATTAGGACCTGGACATATATCTTAGGGGACATTATTCATATTACTACAATGGAGATCCATAAATCCATGAAACTGACAAAAAATAGATATTCTTTTCTAAAGAATGCAGTAAATACAAATGATACCATGGATTCCAGTATCTCTGCTTACAAAATGGATAAAGGAAATAGGAAAAAAAATAGAGCTGAGATATAAAGATTATCAAGAGCAAGAAAGTGAAAAAAAATCAAGACAAAAGATAACTAATCATATCAAAAATGGGCACAGATGTAGTATGCTGAGATGCCCAGGAAGGCACGAATCCAGGCGTGTGCATGTGAGCACACTCACACTGACAAACATAACCATAACTTCAATATTAAGAATTTTTGTAATGAATAAATAAAAAATGGTTCTTTGGCTTCTCTAAAGAAAAACAAATAATTCTAGGTCCTGCTGAACAATACATCAAAGAACAATCCAGATGTCCAGATCAAAAGAAAAAATAATTAGAAAATTATATAAAGATGTGTAGTTTGCCAAAAGCAACATACTAAAAAAAAAGACAACACAGGGGCACCAACTGGTCATAGAGCAGAGAGTGTGAATCAAAAGAAAGCTTTCAGCTAGGTCACTGGAAGCTGATTTTTAAGATGCAGACTATGACAAAGCTAAGCTAGGCCTCTTGGGGATCCAAGTACAAAGGAAGTTTACTGGAACAGACTGAACGAGGGCAGCTATAATAAAGGCTTGTGAGCAGAGGCTAAGAATACGTCTATACATCAATACATAAAAATGCTTTGATAGCTACTGAGAGTAGTATAATCATTTACACTCTCACGTACTTTAACGGTAATAAAAAAATCACACACTCCTAATAATGCTGCCGTTTTCTATGAAGAAATTTAAAGGTACGACATGCACAAAATGAAGTCTTTGGGAGTCCGACTTGGCCTGTATTTTCCCTGCTTAGTCTCTCTGCTGTCTGGCCCACACCCCAGCATGTTGCCCTCTCACCATTCCTGAGTCTCTGAGCAGTGCACTTCTCCTGACAACAGCACTCCTCCACACTACTCCTAAGACTAAATTTGACTACATCACCTCCCAATTGTACTTCACCTAACAAGCAGTTACCCTGAAGATGAGGTAATTTTATCACTAGAAAAAATTATCCTTCTGATTTATAAAACTAGATTTTAGGCTACAAACACTAAATGGTACAAGAAAATCTTAATAGAAATTAGAAGAGATTTTCATAGGTGATTTTCTTTTTTTGCACCAGGAATCGAACCTGCGATCTTGTGTTTTTGAGGCAGGAGGCAGAATCACTGAGCTAAATCCCTGGATCAATAGGTGATTTGCCAAGAAACTACTTAGGGTAAATATTTCAAAAGTTCATTTCTACCTATTTGAGTTGCTGCCTTCTAAAGACACATATGATAATTTACAAACCACATTATAAAACTACAGAAAAAATATTTCTTTTAAATTAAAGAACACATAACTGTATATTAGGTGTTGGCAAACTATCCACTTACTTGCGCATTGATTATTAAACTTCTAAGACAGAAACAATATCCTTCAACTAGATACAAGAAATGTGCTCACTATCTCAAATATCTCAAAAGTTTTTCTCAATGTCATTTAAGTCATTTTCTCGTGTACAAGCAACAGGATATATGGTCTCCCAATCACAATTACCTAAAAACTCATTCACATCCTACAAAAAAGAATGTACAGATTGTTTAGCCATGAAAAACAAATAGTTTGCAAATGGATTCCCATGATAAGGTATACTCAGATTAAAAGAAAGTCAATAATTAACAAAGCTTTGAAGAAACGTACACCCAGAACAATGCTTTGACCTCGCACAGAAGATGTTACAGTTTGTATCTGGATCTCAACCCTACCCCAGGGTCCTAACTTTCCCATGGGGGGATGTGATCACCATCACTGGGTGAGTCTCCTCATCAGTTTACAGCCGACTTGCTGATAGTGGCATCTGGTCGGAAGAGGTGGGGTATGAGCTTGTGGCCTGGAAGAGGTTATCTCTTTCCTGCTCCTCCCTCCACATTCCGCTTTCTGCCTCCATGCAGTGAGCAACCCTCCTCTGCCATGCCTGCCTGTATACTGTCCTGCCCTGGAGCCCGGGGACCATAGGCTGAAAGTCCTACAAACTGTGGGCCAAAATAAACCTGTCCTTGGGTAAGCTGTGGGTGTTGGGTATTTTGTCCCCATAAGGAGGAAAGTAACTAAACACAGGGGTAATAAAAGGGAACTACAGTGTATTTCATTTAAAAAACTCATTTGAAAAACAAAGTATCATTATACGAAATTACACCATGATTTCCTTGGAGAATCTGAGTCAGGTCAAGAAGATACATGCAGGTAGCAACCCATGAACATAAAACAGATTGTCCTCTTGTTTAATAAGAAAATTTATTTGAAAATGAGTATTTCAAGTGTACAAAGCAAGGGCCTCTGTTGGGCTTTAGTAAACAAAGACTAGATAGATTTATAGATCATTTACTTGCCTGAAAATGAAAGCTACTTAACTGATATTTATTTTTCGCTACATGGCAGAGCTATACATAATTTCTTCCTAGTACTAATACTATTAGAAAATAGTTGTTCATTTTACTGCACATTAATAATTGTTACTAGTTTTCTTAGGAGTCTGTGTGGAAAAAAGACAAGTTAGGTAAAAGGAAAAACAGATGATTCCCTTCTCATCCTAAAAATATACAAATAAAACAACATGGCCCACCTTCTCAGCTTCCTCCACACCTGTGGACTTCGACACTGAAGAGCCCAGCTTCTCTTGGGCTTGCTCAAGGTCCTGGGGTACACTCTGTGATGCCAGCATCGGGGGTAGCGGGGCTCGCCTCTTCTTGGGTACATCTGACGGCAGGGTGTTGGACACATACTGCCTGGAGAGGGTGTTGGATCTCACAAAAGTTGGGCGGTGCTTATTTATTAGAGGGGTTGCAGGAGCACTTGAAGTCTAATAAAGGAATAAAGGCAGTGTCTCCATGTAATTTCAAGATAAAAAGCCCTGATAATTTCTAAGAGACTTGAGTAATCTTAGGCAGTGCTTCTTAAGAAAATACTTACTTGCTCCCTCTTTTTCTTACTGCGCTGAAAAAAGCTGAAAAACCCCTTATTTTCTTTCTCTTTCATAATATCGAGGTTTGGTGATATCTGAGAAGACTCTAAAAAGAAGAAAAGAATCTTAACTTTCATAAGCAAGGTAGAGTGCTCGCTTTGGCAGCACATATACATAAGCAAGGTTGAATGCTCAATTCCAAGCTTTACTTCTTTTACTTTTCATTTAAAAACTTATGTAATGGGCCTGGGCCCTGATCTACCATGGGAATGATAGCCATGCCTTCTCCCACCAAGAGCCTCCATCACTCCAGCACCAGGAAGGTAGTTGCGTGGGCACCCCTGAACCCCCACAACTCCCCTAACCCCCTACCCCCAGCACTCTCAGACCTCCTGATTGTGCCAGTCTTTGGACCCACTCTGCAGAGGCAGAGGTGATCATAAAGGGTATTTTTCTGAGTTCCCAACTTGGAACATCTTTAAAGAAAGGGCGTGGGAAAGCTGTAGTAAAACAGAGTGGAGTTCAACTGTTCAGAAGGTTGAGGAACTCAATCTGGGCCTTGCAGCCCAAGGTCAGTCTGCATCATGGGGTTCAGCCATCAGCTAACTGAGATCAGGGGTCTTGCATCCTAGCTCTATCTGAGCCCCCATCCTAAATGGTAAATATACTATATTGAAAAGTTTGTTCACTGCAGACATGTTTTGGACTGCTTCTTGATTTCAGTTTAATTCAAATGGTTTAAGGGTGATAGACTAGTGACTACCACAGGTGGTCAGTTTCCAAGTTGTGCTTGATCATATTGCTGACTGTATCAGTTGGGATAAAGGATTGTGGTTGATTTGATGAGCTGCTTTCTCTGATGTTATGAAGATGAGAATGTCTGTGCGTCGTTAGAGACACAGAAACTACGGCGCAACTATATCAGGAAAATTTGGGTGATAACCCACAGATTAAACCAAGGACATCCGAACAACAAAAATAAAAATGAGAAAACACTTAAGCAAGACACAAAGACAGACTTCCAGTTCACCAATGGCAAACAGTAGGATGAATGAGGATGAAAAGGCTGATAGTGAACCACCAGAACACCCTGAACTCAAAGCACAGGAAGTAACAAAACAGATCAATCAGGCTCTAGAAAAATTCAAAACAGAAAAAATTTCCCAGATAACCATAGAGATGGTGAGCGAAATGCAAGTCGTGATTCGAGACTCTAGAACAGACACTGACAAAAAAAATAGATGAACTCAGGACCACAATAGAAGCCATGAAGGTCCAGCATAAGAAAGAAATGGAAAAAAATAATCACCCAACATAGGAAAGAAATGGAATCCATAAAACAGATTCAAACAGATATCCAGGAGATTAAACATTCCATTGAAAGTGTATGCAACAGAATAAAAGAATGCGAAGATAGACTCTCAGATATAGAAGATAAGATTGCAGTCAGTGACCATGAAAAGAGAAGTCTCTTAAAAACAGTAGGGGATCACGAGAAATCGATCCAACAACTCCTAGATGATGCAAAGAAGAATAACATGAAGTTAGGATAGGAACACATGAAGTAACAGGCGAAAACACAAATGGCTTTAAAAAGCTGTTCACAGAATTAATGACAGAAAACTTCCCAAACAGAGGGGAAGAATTTGACATTCAGATAACTGAGGCATATAGGACCCCAATCAAAAAAAAAAATCTACACCTAGACATATAATAATCAAGATCCCAGAAACCCAACAGAAGAACAAAATACTAAAAGCAGTAAGAGAAAAGAAACAAATCACATACAAAGGAAAGCCCATCAGAATCACAGCAGACTTTTCAACACAAACCCTTGAGACAAGGAGAGCCTGGAATGAGATATTTCAAGTCCTAAAAGAGAACAACCTCCAACCTAGACTGACGTATCTTGCAAAACTCTCTTTCAAAATGGATGGGGAAATAAGACACTTCCACGACAAAGAACACCTGAGAAACTACATGAGTACCAAACCAGCACTACAAGCAATTCTAAACAAGATCCTAGAAAAAGACAATGAAGGTAACATCACCCTGAGGCCCAACAGAGCAAATCAAATAGGCAAGGCAAGAAATTAAAAGGAGAAGGTGAAAAAGTAAAAAGAGTCAACAAAAGGCCAATAACATGTCAATAATAAATCAGTACATATCAGTTATAACCAGCAATGTCAATGGCCTCAACTCACTAATCAAGAGAAATAGACTGGCAAATTGGAATAAGAAGCAAAATCCAACAATATGTTGTATACAAGAAACACACCTGGTGCAAAAAGAAGCCCATAGACTGAAAGTGAAAAGATAGAAAACAATTCTCCTTGTGACAGGATCCCAGAAAAAAAACAGGGGTAGCAATCTTATTTGCAGACAAAGTAAATTTCAAACCAAAACTGATTCTAGTATTATAGATGTAGGACGGCACTGTATCATACCTCTGTGAATGTAAAATATCTTGTACCTGCTTTATGATAGGTAGTAGGGACCCTGCTTTATCACAGCTATTTTTAATGATGTTACTCTAGAATGTTCTCTCTCCAGATGATGATTAAGATGCTAATAAAAAAAAAAATGGTGCCAGGTACCACAACAGCAACAGAACTTTGCTGTTTTCTGGGTATTATTCTTTTCTTTGTTTTTTTAATAGAGTGTGGTGAATGTCTATAATTTTGTTCAGATGACTGCAGAACCTGGAAAAGCTGTTGCTGCTATTGATGCATAACATACT